ACAGAAGGGCAGCTTCAAACGGCACAGTTCTTGTGCCAAATGGCATTAGTAACGTTCGTGGCGGATGAACGCAAGTTCACTCAATCTAATTCGATACTTAGATCAAGGTTTATAAGTCCACAATACGTCCTGGTGATGCCAGAAGCCAACTGTTCCTAGCTTTCTACACGTACGATTGAGGTTACTCTCAACACGCATTGAATGAACGTATGTGAGCAAGCTTAAAGTAAATTTCCTCTTACTCGTTATAGTTTGCGAGATATACGAAGTCATGCATGATTTGCTAGCTTTATCAATCCCGTGCTCATAGTAACGATCCACATTATAGAAACCCAAACCGCATTTCAAGTGGTATCGCCGGTACCTACTGGCACTTGGCATAGTTGTGAACAATCATTCAATCTACAGATAAACGGATGGGCCCTTTCTGCTGGCTTCAGTAGACGATACCGGATATTCAACAGGGAAGTCACCTCAGCGATTTGGAAGCGAAGCTGTCACACTTAACTCCATACTTTAAATAAACCCATTAAGGTTGTACACTGCACTTAGGTCACCAAAACTCGCATAGATGGTGCTGGCAGTTGAAGTTCCACACACATCAAGTACTGGTATGATAGACTTGAATTTTCATCGCTAAAATTGAAGACATTATAAGCTACTCATCCAGGCGGTTTGGCTTTTAAGAGAGAAACTTGGATTAGCAATTACACGGCGGGGTAATTCGACTTTTAATACTTGGCTACGTCCGAAAACCATGACGACTCCTCGCAAACACGTCTTGACACTAGCGAGAAACTGTTAACTGGCAAAAGAAGTGATGCCTTGGATAATTACGAATATCGAAGGTACCTAGGGCGGCCTGCATTATTTCCTCATAACAAAATAGAGTACAATAAGTCAGCGGGGTGACTGCGAAAATTTTGGTGGCAAAAACTGGCAGTGAAACTCAGTAAATAGGGGAGATTGAAAGAAAGGTTAGCCGAAGGTCAACGCATCAGCATTGAATTCCTAGTTGTAGCCCGACGAGTAAGTGAACCTATGAACAAAAGAAGGGAACATTAAATTTGTGCTCAAACTTCTTAGGTGAGGAAAGTTAGCTAACGGAACGAACTGACCATCGGGATGCCAAACAGGACAATTAAACTCTGTGTCAGGGATCAAGAAACGAACAAGATCTGACAACGAGTGTAGGCATGAAATCGGGTATTTTTTATCTTAAATATTCTACTAAATTTCAAGAGAACAAACCTTGATGGTGACGCCTGGAAGTTAAGGGAAGGCATCAGGTTCTGGACTTGGTTGCAGGCGGTACGTTGATAAGCAGCTGGGTAGGAGGATGTTAATGGCACTTGTGAATTAGATGGCATAGGTTGCATCAACTGGCACGCCGCAATGCTTTGCTGGTACTGACGTAAGAGGTTGAGTTGGTGCAACATGGCCGACATATTAAGCGTAGCTGCCGTTTTCGACCTGTCGACATGGCCGTTAGGTGGCTGCGATTGCTGCGTACCATCAAGCACCACACCGTTTGCCATGTTACGTGGAGGCAAATAGTTTGAGTTGAAGTTGTTAAAGAGATGTGGTGAAGCCTGATATCCAAGATTGGTGCTTGGCAAACCCGGTAGAAG